ATTTGCAAAGTGTTCGTTTTTGTTTGTTTGTTTGTTTTAAATATATTTTTATTGATTTCTGAGAGGAGGAGAGAGGGAGAGATAGAAACATCCATGATGAGGGAGAATCACGGACCGGCTGCCTCCTGCACAGCCCGCACTGGGGATGGAGCCCGCCGACTGGTCACGTGCCCTGACCGGCAATCGAACCCTGACCTCCTGGTTCATGGGTCGACACTTAACCACTGAGCCACGCCGGCCGGCGGTTCCTTTAATGTCTGAGCTGGCTTTTCCCACCACTGCCGCCTGTCTCCCTGCGGCTCTTTCGCTCTGGTTTCCACCTCGGAGCGTGGTCAGTTTTCCCCCGAGCGCAGAGCCGCGAGCCACCTGAACGCTGTTTGTGGGGGACCTGGGCTGGCGCTGCCCTGGGAGGTCCTGGTGCTGAGTGGTGGGCTCGGACCTTGAGCCCTGACCGTGGGGGCTGAGCTCTGTTTAGGACGTGAGTGACCTGGCTGTGCCGGGGGACCCCGCCAGCCGGTTTCCTGGTAGCTCATTTCTAGAACCTCGTGGGCAGGGCTGCAGCAGGCGGGCTTGTGCCGGGCCCCCACGCGGTCTCTCCTCCGCAGTGATCCCCAAGCTGGGCTGTGTGTTCTCCGTGGAAACCGACGGCTTCGTTTCCTACATTCACGGGAGCAAATTCCAGCTCCGGTCGAGCGAGCGGTCCGCCAAGAAGTTCAAAGCGAAGGGAACCATGGACCTGTGAGCACTGCGGCCCACGGGGTCACGGCCGAGAGGAACGCCGGCCCGAGCCCAGCTCCTGGGAGACGGCAGGCACTTCCGGGGAGACCACCCCGGTCGGTAGGACACTGGGAAGAAACACCTGGTGTCGGGGAGCAGGGTGCACACTTCCGGGGGCCTGCGTGTTCCTCCCTCCCGAGGAGAGAGGGGCAGGAGACACCAAGCGGCCCTGTTGCCTCGTGGGCGTGGGGGCTCCGCCGCCTGTCCTGCGTCTGCTGCTCTGTGACACGCGCTGTCTGTGATAATAAAAGCATTTGGGCCTTTCCAGTCTCCTGCGGTGCAGCAGGTGGGAGGGTGGGGGAGGGTGGCGCCTGGGCAGGGCTGCCTCAGGCCTTGGCTTCCTCTGCAGACACCGCCCACAGGCGCGGGGCCCAGCTCTGGTCTGTGACACGTCTGGACCACAGTTTCTGCAAACAGCTGAGCTCCTCCACCCTCCCTCCCTCTGGGGCCTGGGTGGGCAGAGGGGGCTCCCTGGAGTGGGCTCCGGGTCCGAGCAGCTGTGGGATCTGAAGAAGGTGGTCACCCCCAGGCTCAGGGCAGGGCCCGCAGAGCCATCGAGGACCCGGGCAGTCACCTGCCCGCTGGGCTCGGGCTGGCAGGAGGAGAGGTGGGCAGGGGCGTGGGCTCTGGCTGCCAGTCCCCGGCCTTCAGGAGACACAGAGGCTCTGCCGCCTAGTGGGAATGCCTGTAATTCAAGCGTTCCATATTCCATCACAGAAGAATTCCATTGTTTCGTATTGAGAATTCTTAGAACAGTAACCCCATTTACGGCGTGTTCTGAGGTTTATTAACTTGA